TCATATTTATATGGAAGCATCCTCATGTTGTGTAGATTCTTGATTGTTCAAATCATGACCCTGGGGGTAGGGCGGGTACAAAATGGCCGACCAAGTTTTACGAAGAAATATACTGGGAAATTTTTTAAAAATCTTTTTCAAGAATAGCAAATCCATAATTGGTCATGGGACTACTTTTGGATTTAAACTTTTCAATAATAAACCAATTTCTACTTTTTCCTAGCCACAGTGCTCAGGTGAGCGATGGGGCCCATGGGTCTCTTGTTATTAAAAGCTTCTCCTACCATTGTAGTCTTATTGCAATCTTGCTACATAAAGAGACTTAATCAAGGATGATTATAGTATATATTGCTTTTTTTAAAATTTGAAGTCCCAAATGCTACTATTGTCTTCCTTTATTATAAGTACAAACCAGTAGAGCTTCAGTCGACAGAGACTTCTGGATTTAATGATATTAGAAACATAAATGTTACACACTTTTAATTATGGTATGTCTATATTTTGTCGTTATCTATTAAATTATATCATCAGAAAGAACATTGTAAATTGTAAATAAAGGGAGAGTTCAGACATAGTTTTGATTATGGTGACAGCTAGTGCAGAATTAACTTCTTTAACATCTGTGTTGGAAAAAATTATCCCTGTCTGATTTCTCAAGCAAGATTCATAGTTTTCTTAATTTTTTCTTTTCTATTGAAATTGAAATAGAATATACTCTTATGTACATTAAATACCCCGATCAAAATAATAAACAGAATGTAACTTCTACCGTCTTTTTGAAGCCTTCTTGTGTATATGAAAAGAAAATGTCAAAATGTATATCTTGATATGACTTACTGGTTAATCTGTCGGAATGTATTGCAGTTAATCAATTAGCAATTCTGAAATCGATTGCCATCCCTAGTAGATTCAAAATTGTTCAAATCATGACCCCCAGGGGTAGGGTAGGGCCACAATAGGGAACCCAAGTTTTACATGGAAGTACCGGTATATGGGAAAAAAACTTTCAACATCTTCTTCTCAAGGACAAGTAGACTAAAACAGCTGAAACTTAAGTGGAAGCATCCTGGGGGAGTGTAGATTCTACATTGTTTGAATCACGACCCTTTAGGATTGTCAAGGTCAGACAGGTATTACAAAGGGGGAAATCTGTTAAGTGACAGAATTGCCAAAGTTACTCAGTTGAGCGATAAAGCCCATGGGCCTCTTGTTTTCAATATTTTCATATCCTTTTTCAAATATATAAAAAAAAATTGTAGGGGGGTAATACCTCATTCTCTTACTATTTTAGCTTATACCAGAATTACCATCTCTCCAAAAACAGCAACTTTTGGAGATAAAGTAACCATAAAAATGGACTGTGTGTATCCGTATCCAAATATCAGAATTGACTATGTTGAGGTAAGTGCTGAAATAACTTTTTAGCTCACCTGAACCGAAGGCTCAAGTAAGTTTTTCTGATCAAAGAAGAAAGGGCTCTAAGGGCAAAAATCTGCCTCAAGTTAGAAATAAATGAAACATTCTCAAATAATACCTTAGGGTTTGTAAATGATTAAACAATTTAAATTTTAGCGTTATCTTTTCTAGTTTTCTTCCTTCTGTCTTTTAGATTAGGCATTGTTTTCTCAACAAATGACATGACGTCGACGTTTTTATACCTATAACGTCATGGATTGACGTTACCACAAATCTGGACATCGCACATTGAGCATTGATTTTAATTGGGTTTTCTTTATTTTAAAGTTTCTTTTTTTCCTTTTGATTTTTATTGTAGCAATTAGAAACATAAAATTTAATTTATACGAAGTAAATACATGTACGTAAAAGGAATAGAATCAATCAAACAGGACTCTACTTTTAAAAATTGGGAAACATTACTATGACTTTTCAAGACGTTCTGAAAGTGCAATAATAGCTTTGTTTTTCTAAAAATGAGAAAGGTTTTTCAATTAATAGCTTATTTACTTCAAAATGGATGTAAAAGTAATTGTACAACATTATTCTTCATCATTCTCATCTTCACTCTCGCTTTCATCTACTGTCAGTGGCTCTGGAATATCCTGTGCATCAAGTAGGTATTTGCTCCAGTCCCGAAGACTCTCAAAAGTGCTCTCACTGTAATGTCCGATGCCAAGATACCACATAAGGGAAGTGACATGACAACAGGTCCCAACAACACGGGTTCCTATTTTACATTGACAGTACATGTACCAGCTAATAACTTGGACGTCACTATATTGAATCCAAACTTTGTAGCCTTTCGAAGACACGTCATGACTGTATTTTTGCGCAAAGTAGGTCTGGCTCATGGTTGCATATCATATAACATCAAAATTGCCGTCACTATCCAAGTGCTCTCTTGTGTAGCAGGGTGCAAGCTTCAACTGGTACACGCCAAATGTCAGGTTTTGAATATCCTCTTCACATAATATCGGAAAGTCAGAAATAGAAGAGGTATTGAATTTTTCCCATTTGCACGATCTTTTGTCTAGACCCTCGGACTTGATTCTTTCATGAATTACATTTTGCTGTTTGGAGAGATATAGCATTTTACAGCCCAGTTGATCTTCCTTTTCAGAGTCCTTTGGGTTAATTTCTGGCAAGTACTTATTCATCATGGCACAGGCGATTTTTACATAATCAGCAATATATGGTATTTGACTGTTTGGAAGAACCCGGTCAAGATATTTCCATTGTTTTATGCGGCCATTCACAGACTCGACAATCCATCGTATTTTCTTAACGAGTCTTAAGGTGTTGCTCTCTTTCACTGGCAATTGAGATTCACCTTTCTGGTTAAATGATGGCATTTTGGTTCTTACACCAAGTTCATCCAACAATTCAACAGAGTCTCTAAAACCTCGATCAACGATAAGGACATCTTCTTCACAAATCCACCGTTTAAAGTCTTCAATATCGTTACCAATTATGTGCTTCATAATTTGAGCATCACTATTTTTGCCATCACTGAAGTAGGAGCCAATCACAGTAAGGATATAACCAGTTGTAGAAACAAAAACCATTGGTTTTACCAGTGGACGGTGTTTATGTAAACTGTAGCACTTGCGTTGGAATTTGAACTGTAAACTCTTCTGTATGTAGATGTAAGTTCTGTCGGCTACTAATATGGCTGGAAACTTGCCTTCTCCAAATAATGATTGTGCTATTGGTCTTCTATGCGATGATATTATTTCTTCTCTGCTTATGTGCCCAAATACCAGATTTGATGGCACAAAATGTTGTGAAAGATACTTCCGTGCTGATGCAATGGCATGACGGATTGAGTCTCTGCCTTAATTGAAACAACGTGCAGAGAATTTTATTTGGCATGCCTGTCTTCAGTTTAGTGAGAAATATGCCAATACATGTGCGGACACTGCATGTACTCGAATTCTCCACATTTTCCTCCAACTTCTGAACAAAGTTCATCTAGTTTTCTTTGTTATTCCAGTCAAAGTTAAGATGTCTGAATCCGATAAAGACTTTACATTGTCAAAATGGATGCGTTTTTCACTTTCCCTTACAGCAATTTCTTGAATCTCCATTATAAGTTCCATTAGATCTGAGCGGTTAAAATCAGATGTGGTTCAGTACTGGGAAATCTGTTCTACTGCATGAGCATGGAAAAGATTTTCAGATAGATGACCTGGGCAGCATCTAGCTCCAATGGGCAATACAATAAGTTTTTCCAAAAACAGGTTATACCTAGCATTTTTAGGTATGACGACTAGTCTTTGGACCACGACGCTTGCAAACAGCACACTGTGAATGACTACCTCCCACTGAAGGTATTGGCAGTGTGATGCTTGGAGGTGACTTAGGTATTTTCTTAGCTTTCTTGGTGGTGGGTATGTACTCTGTGTCTACATCTGTGTCCAGAATACGGTTCTGTTTCGCAAAGTCCTTTTCTGAATCCCCAGCAGTTGCATGGATTTCTCGGGAACAGCGGAGTCGACATTTATGACAGATGACACTTCCAGTAGCAAGTATTTTGGAGGATTCTATTAGGAAACGTTGTTGGAGGAATTTCCGAAGTTCTTTATTTTTTGATCCAGTTATTGGTCCTCTATCTCTTGACCTCCCTAATGTAGATTTTCTGCAACTTCCATGGAATTCCAAGGCATATTCCATGGAATTCCATGGAGTTTTTGTTTGCAGAATTCTTAGGAATTCTCCGGAGTATTGGGACGGAACTTTTTTGGAATGATTTGGAATTTTGAATCTAGCCTGGAAAAGAGCGGAACAATGCCAGAATGGAAATTTGCGTAGGAAATCCATGGAAGTCCAGGATATTTGTAAATCTAAGGAATTCCATGGAAATCCATGGAATTCCAGGATTCCAAATTCCAAATACATGTACAATGAACACTGAAATAATTAGTGCCACATAATTACAAAAAAAAAACTTGATAACATCACAATTTTTTATAGATCAAATCTATATTTTCAAAATAAAAAATTCATGTTTCTCTTACAATGTTTTTTGAGACAAATATTGCATTACTCTCAGATGTACAATCTAAGCACACTTTTTAAATGTATTCTCACTGAAAGTATTTTTACATCAAATGTTATTTACAAAAATATCCAGAGAAAAATATGATTACTGGAGAATCACCTTGGTTAAATTAATGATAATCATATTATGATATACATGTATTTAGTAAACTCCAGTCTACATTTTCTAAAATAAGAAGTTAGTTTTATTAAATGACATTGGCCATGGAATTGGAGAGGTCATTGAAACCTCAACAGGGTATTCATTTACAATGAACTGCCAGTGGCTTATGTACTGGTACAAAGTTAATGACTAGAGTGACAAACACATGTATTGAATGCAAAAAATATGTACTACACAACTATATTGATACAAAGATCCCATAAAAGCAACAGATGCTATTTTCCCCCAACATACGTGCCAAAGATCCCAATTAATGAAGATTGAAAACTTCTGACGTGTTTGCTAAAGAATCACTTCCTCACTGATATCGCTTGAAATTAGTAAATGGTCACGTTAGAGGGTTGACAGATAATTGGTGTCACGAACGGATTCACTTTCAGTACGAAGGCTCAGGAAGTTGGACGTTGATCATACCCACAGACACTTCAAAGTTTCTTTGCACAATTTCTGAAAGAAAAGATGACCATTAAGATATTGATGTTATTGATATGCATATAAATACTAGGATATGACAAATAATAAACTAAAGTTATACAAAACAGTTGGTTTTTTCGACCTGGCAAATCAGTTTACTGTAGAATATGAATTCACTATTATGCAATTTTTGTTCAAATTAGGATTAATTCTGATAAATGTAAAAATGTGAAAAGTTTATGGACGACAGACAACATCGGACATTGATCAAAAAATTCACTTAGGCCTTAAAATGGCTCAGGTGAGCTAAAACGAAAAGGTTAGTGCTCAAGCTCAATGCCTGACTAACACTGAAAAAGATAATTTCAATTCATGTGATTTTATTGATTTAGAAAATAATTAAGAAATCTGACCTTTTTGGTTTTTTCATACAGTTCTTGTCCTTGTGAGCATCCGGATTCCTGAAAAATGCATGTATACTTCATAGTAGATGATTGCTATTTGATCTAAATTAATTATGATGCCTGTGCAGTTAGCATGTTTAGATTACCTGTCAGAATTAATTGTTTTAAATTATTAGAATAAGGAATTTAAGCGTGTTAAGAATATAAACCTTTAAATTTTGTTTACTTGGCAAAGTTGCAATATTTTTTTTAATCTAATGCTAATGCTGACATGGATTAATAAAATCAAAGTTAGTTTACTTGGTTTGAATGATAATTTGAGCTAGTTCTCACTATATTCACAAGCCTAGTGACTGATTGGCTGAGCATCTACATCCACCAAGTTATAAAATGCCAGCGCTGTGGGGATCATCTCAGGCACAATGCAGCAACTATAAAATAATTAAAATAAGAGCTGAAAATGATCATGAACATGCATTAAAAAATATATCATTAATCACATTGTACATCATACTCTGTAAATGTTATCTTGAACGAAGGAACGTATAGATAAAATTCTTTGCATGAGTTCGATCCCAAACGAGGAAATTCGGGTTCAAGCCCATGATCTTAATATGTTTAGAGTTGTTAAATAATTATTACAAAATTAAAATAGTGCACTTATGATTTAACTGTCGGGCAGTTTATGTGTGATGCCCAGACTAATAAACAGTAGCAGAAGCATTCTTCATTCAAGGACACATAAAATACTGTACAATATTTTACCTACCGGTCTTTAAAATGTCTTCATCTTCTTCCATCTCAAACTAATCATGACCCCCCTGTTCGTGACACTCTCGTTCCAACTTTCCTTCTGTGCAACATCAACATGGCATTCGATATTTTTGAATTTCGAATTTCGGCGTGTTGTTAAAATTAGTTGTTCATCGAGCACGACTTCGATCCCGATGTTATTGTACTATCAGTGGACAGTTAAATTCTAAGTATTTTTCCACAGTTTTCCAGTGCAGAAAATGGCTAAGTTTCTCATTTTATCATTTTTTCCAAAGAATTCCACTACTTTCCAAACCAAAAAATGTCTAAGTCCATTTTTTTTTTCAAATTCCAAAATATTCCAAAAACTTCCAGACACATTTTCGAGTTTGGTATAGAAATGAATGGAATTCCATGTAATTCCAAAACTTTTCCAAACCCTCTGGAAAATCTACATTAGGGCTTTGGTCTAGATGAACATAGAACACATGAGTGGAACCTTGGTGAGGATATTCTAAAATATAAAGAAAAAATAAATAAATTAGTCATTATTGTTTGTATAGTTTTCTAAATAGTGTTCATAATAATTTGTCAAAATTACATTAGGACACTGAATGATGAAAAAAAAAAAGCCAAACTCTTCCCTATACAATATCAGTATAATTATCTATGCATTAAAGTGAAACTTGTATTAGATAAATAAAGTAAATGTTATACTTCCTAAAATATGAATATTAAAACATAGAATATGAAAATTAAAAAATATTAATTCAAAAGGTTCAAAGGCAGATTCGAACTCAGACCTTATACCCCGTGTACTGGCGTCCAAGCTAATAATCGATGGCAACCAGTGACACACTACTTTTGCAATGAAAACTTGAGCAATAGAAAATCATTACATATTTTTGTGTAGCATACGATACACTTATTTTGTCCGCAAAGTGTCAACATTTACTTTAATTTCATTCCATTCTGTCTAAAAATATCTTGTATCATATTTTCTCATAAAGTTTGGTATTTACGTTCTCTGAATCATTGAATGCTCTGAAAATGCAAGTTACACTATGATGTAGGCCTGTAGATCACTAGATGTAGAATACACAACCTTTACCGGTTAATTTGGAATTAAAGAATTCTATCTCAGAAAATTTAAGATTGTAGATTGTAAACATATAAATTGTTAACCAAATATGCAATTTTTACTAGGCCCCTAACACAGACATTCCGATTTTACAGAATGTAAACAAATCACCGGCAGCTTGTGACAGACGGAGGTTGTTGACACTGTTTTACTGATTTCTCAAAATAATTTTTCATAAAAATGATGAAGACAAACCTGATCAGCCCTTCTGATTTCTTTTGTCAAGATATTTCCTCAGGTCATGCTGAAAGAATTCTTCCTACCCCTCTTTTTTCTTTCGTTCAACATCGTGAACATGACCAATGACGCACTTGCGTAAAATGTTGGTCATGTACTGTACGTTTCTAAATTTTGTCCAATTTTTATTTTCGTGAATATTCAGAAAAATTATAGTTTATAGTTATAATTATTATACACGTGCATGCTCTGAAGTCTTTAACATGATTACAATTTATCACCGATACGTTTTTATTCCCCATGCACATTCATGTATGCCCTATGTATCACGTGTATGGCCCCTACTTTTATTCAGAAGAAAGAGAGGTCGGAATATTTCAGCCAAACTTGCCACACTGTATTTTTAGGTCACCTGAGTAAACTCAGGTGACCTATTGCTATCTGTTTTCGTCCGTCGTCGTGCGTTGTGCGTTAACATTTGAACATTTTCAGCTTCTTCTCTGCAACCACTGAATCAGTTTCAACCAAATTTCGCATAAAGCATCTATGGGTGAAGGGGAACAAAAATTTTACATAGCAATATGTAGGAAAAATCTTTAAAAATCTTCTTCTCAAGAACCACTGGGCCAGGAAAGATGAAACTCATGTGGAATCATCCTCAGGTAGTGTAGATTCAAGTTTGTTCAAATCATGACCCCCGGGGCTAGGATGGGGCCAAAATGGCCGACCCAAGTTTTACATAGGAATATATAGGAAAAATCTTTTAAAATCTTCTCAAGAACCACTTGGCCAGGAAAGCTGAAACTCATGTGGAATCATCCTCAGGTAGTGTAGATTCAAGTTTGTTCAAATGATGACCCCCCAGGCTAGGATGGGGCCAAAATGGCCGACTGAAGTTTTACATAGGAATATATAGGAAAATCTTTAAAAATCTTCTTCTCAAGAACCACTTGGCCAGGAAAGCTGAAACTCATGTGGAATCATCTCAGGTAGTGTAGATTCAAGTTTGTTCAAATCATGACCCCCAGGCTAGGGTGGGGCCAAAATGGCCGACCCAATTTTACAAAGGGATATATAGGGAAACCTTTTAAAAAATCTTCTTTTCAGTACTTCAAAGCTATTTTTAGTGATATTTATATGGAATCATCCTCAGGTAGTGTAGATTCTAGTTTGTTCAAATGATGAATGCCGGGGGAGGGGTTAAATTCAAGCCCCGATGTGCTCTGGTGAGCGCTGCGGCCCCTGGGCCTCTTATTTCACTTTATGTTAATTAATTTTGAAGGTAGTTGTATTAAAACCCCATTCTATCATTAATACTGAAAAAGTGTTTATTGTAACTTTAGAAGAAAATGATGAGAGAGGTACAATTAATCCTTTGGGATTAATTATATCTAGCCTGCTGCAGAAAATTAAGTAGGCTTTTCTTTATCTTTAAGATTAATGAAAACCTTTGTCTGCAACTGCTGTTTGTTTGAAGTTAAGGTCAAGCCTTCACGATATTTGCATTCATTGAAGGCTGGCATTCTATATAACACAAGCTTCATAATTGTTTAAATATACATTCAATGTTAAGTTGTTCTTTACTGCCTAATGTAAATACAAGGATATTATTTTCAGGTTTTTGAATATTCAGGAATTATCTTGAGATTTGAAGAATACAGTTGCTGTTGCTTATTCTTTTTACATTTTTTAATCATTTCTTGGAAGCTGCACCCTTTTTATCTTCTACCCCATGGCGGGGCCCTTGCTGACTGGTCAGTTTTCTAGTTATTTCAATGATCACCTTGCAGTATGTCTCACCTGAATAAAGATCCCATTTCACGAGACCCACGTCTTCTGCCGGGGCCGTTAAATGTCAAGTTAAACTTGCCCATTATGTAACTTTCTATTTACTTAAGTACAGCTATTTGTAAGAACCAGGCAGGGGGTGATTCATGACCACTTCAGATTTTTACAAAATTTTAATATGTTGCTTCATGGACCAAGGGAACATCATTGGACAACATAATTTTTTTGGCCAGCCTTTGTTGCCATGGAAACAATGCACCATGTAAATGCACATGGCAACCAAGCAAAAAATTGAAAAAAATGTGAATTTAGCCATTATTGAACACAGGAACAGAGCTTTTTTGATGATAGTACCATAAATAAATCTTTTTTTCCTGAGAAGTACATACAAAATGATAAATGATTACCATAAGGATAAAATTATATAGGATTTATTAAAGGTGCTGAATTTCAATTTAACATAGGTCATTTCATAAAATTCACTTTTCACAATATTTCTTCAAATCCAACATATTTTAGAAGCATATTAAGAAAAAGGCCCGCATGTTAAAGAAATCTGATAACATGGGATAGAAAGAGCACATTCTTAATTTTAATAAAATTAAATAAAACCCATGGGTTTTTTAAAAATATTCTGTTACCATGGCAACGAAATGTCACAAAAATTCATTTTTCACAATAATAACCGTTTTTAGAAGCATAGTAAGAAAAAATCCCACATGTTAAAGAAATCTGATAATGTGGAATAGAAAGAGCACTTTTTTAATTTCAATAAAATGAAATAAAACCCATGGGTTTTTAAATAATATTCTGTTACCATGGCAACAAAATGTCACAAAAATTCATTTTTCACAATAATAACCATTTTTAAGAGCATAGTTAGAAAAAATCCCACATGGTAAAGAAAACTGAAAGTGTGGGATAGAAAGACCACAATCCTTATTCTAATAAAACAAAACAAAACCCATGGGTTTTTCAAAAATATTCTGTAACCATGGCAACAGAATATCACAAAAATTCATTTTTCAAGAAAATACCAAAATATATCATTTTCAGAGTATGTTGTGGAAAAAATACCACAAGCAAAAAAAATTGATAATATAAGATAAAACATGTTCTCCTAAACCTTGCAAATATTAGATAAAACCAGTGGATTTCTCATAAATTTTTGTAACCATGGTAACAAATTATTCTGGAAATGCTTTTTTAAATAAATTGACTTTACAAAATCTCCATGAAATACAAAATAATTATTGACTAACATACATGTATTATTTTCACAGTTTATTGTAAATTGTAAATGCATGAAAATATATATTTTTTTTAAATATGATTTTGTGATTTGTATCTGGTTACCATGACAACATTTTTCTCCAAATATATTGTATTTGCCTATACAATTTAGTCAAAGTGATTAGTTTGTATGAATGAAAACTGTATGAGTGGCCATTAGTGAAATTGAATAATGAAAAGACACAACATTTTTTTTGTACTTCTGTGAACTTCATGTTTATTTTTTATACAGAAAATTAAAACAAATATTTGGTTTCTGTGGTAACTGTGATTAACCATTTATGAGACATGATCTAAATTATTTCAATTGTATTTTTTAAAGCAATTTTTGAAAAATCATCTGTAAATTTACTTTTTGCTGAAATACATAGTTTACAGTAAATAAATCTTGAAAAAAATGTCAATATAACATTATAAAGTGTATCAAATGTCAAAAAATCCATGTTCTTGACTAGATAGGCAAACTAAAATTCAAAATTTTATGTTGAAGGGGTGTAATATTAAATATCCTTGGGTGTATCCAGGTCTTGGCTTCAATAAAACCCCTTTTACATTTGGAGGAGCTTAAAAATCAATATCCTTTGTTTCTGGTCTGGATTTTTTTCAAAAAGTTTTAAACTGACAGTGTCTTTATTAGATTTTTTTGGCCATCATTTAGAAATGTGCCGTTGAGATTATCTGTATCAACTGTAAAGGTACATCTATGTGTCCTGGCTGCTAAACAGGTGCTCCAGCTATATTC